CTACATAAAGCACTATCAAGTATAAACCAAGAAGCACAAAAAAGAACAGAAATTGTGCGTAGCTTTCTTCAATGTGTCGTCAGGCAGCTTGGAAAGGAGGAGGACTGCTGCAATAAGATTTTGTAAAACTTACATAATACGGAACTTACAAATTTCGAATACCGAGAAGATCCAACAGACTAACTTTCCTCAATCTGCGAAGACACTGACATTTGGCGCCTCTTGTATCTCAGGTGGCAACGTCGTACTCAAGTAATGGAAATACATATTCTTTGTATAGCTACAAAAAACTGTCTCATTATGGTCCCTAATATTTGTAAAAATAGTAAGTAGGGTGCTAAAAGCCTTACGAACCATTACAGATATATGGTGCTTGAAATCCAACTCTGTAGTTATTATGAACCCAAGATCGTAAATTTAATCTGAAGCTTCCTGAGTAACATCATTAAAGACGTCTCTGAGAAGATGAAGGTGGTACCCTTTTAGCCTTGCCGATGCGGAGCACCGACGTTCTCACGAGATTTACGGGGATGTCCCACACCGCAGCCATTCCACCATATTGTGCATCGAACGAATAAGGCGTGAAGAAAATCTTCATAAGTTTTCTCACGATGAACGCCATATATTTTGATGTCTCAGCGTTCACATGGACTTTGACCATGGGATGACTCGAAAATCGAGCAGGCAAGTCAAATGTGTACACTAGAAATAAGGGGGGGGGAAAGCACTCCACTTAGCGGTTCACCACTTTTGTATAAATGCGGCTCCAAGGAAGCATTTCCAACTTCCTAATAAACTCATGAATCTTCCGCTCAGGTAAGTGCCAATCCATCAACACCCATCTGGTATGATTTCACAATGAGCTTATGGTGATTCACCTTATCGAAAGCTTTCGATAAATTAAGACAGATTAGGTCTACGCCATTGCCTCTGTTCATAGCCAAACTCCAATCGAAGACGCAATCTGCCTTCTGTGTGCTAGTGGACGCACCCACAATGAACCATGTTGTTCAATAGGGGGTACCACTTCTTGCTCGAATGTTCCACAAGTTCATCAACTTTTTCAAGGCTTTAGCTATTGAGGAAGTATTACTGATAGGACGGAACAGAGAAACTAGGCTTGGATGCAGAACCTTGGGTATAGCCGTTACGATACTCCCTTCCAGCTGGTAGGCACTTCACTAAACATCAATGACGCGTTTAGAATCACACACAGGTTTGTATAACGAAAAAGCACATTTCTTATACACAAATTGAGGGATACCGTCAAATGTAATGAAACATGAACCCTTGAGAGACTTCAACACTTTATAAACTTCTTCGGGAATTACTGCGACTTCAGAGGGAGAGAGAGAATTTTGCTGATGTTCTCCTTATTCACCTCCGGGCTACCTTCTGGTGTAGAGTAAACGGATGCAAAATGCCCGCCACTGCTTCGGCTTTTTGGTCATCGGCGAAAAAGCGATTACGAGAATCATCCTCAAGCACTGAAACGCTTGCTGGCTTCATTTTATCCTTGATCAGAGCAAAGGGACTAGTCTTGATTCTAGTGGTACTCATACGTTTTCCCTTGTTGACTAAGAATAATCCAGTTCAGTACAGATTCTCCTATATTGGAGTATACGTGAAGGAGAACTATGTAGCGCGCTAAAAAGACGACCTTTTTGGGCACACAAATTGCTTGTTGTGTTTCGGGTATCGCGCTAGTGATTTATGCTTAGACGCAAGCGTTACATACTTGGCCAAACCAGACTAGAGGATGCGACAACATTTTTTGCAAAAACCGCCGACAGTTGGGCATCCTTGAAAAGCGCCCCACCAATCCAAAGAAGTAAAGATCTAGAGAGGGATACGTAATCAGCTTCATGGAACTCAAAAGAGGAATCTGTTTTGCTTGTTGATTCGGGAGGAGAGTATCAAATGCAGCAACACTGTGACAGCTGAGGAGTTCAAGAAACTTGCAAGGCGCAAAGCCTTTACCTTTTTTCAATGTTGAAGTCACCAAGTGCGAGAAAGTTTCCGTCCGCAGACAGAGCTCAAATACGAAACAATAAGGCTTTCAACATCAGTTATGCTAGAATTAGGAGGACGATGAAGAATTACAACGTAGGCGAATCTAATATCCCGAAGATCGGCCGGAGGAGTTTGCCAATGACCATGGGTATTAAACAAAGTGCGTACAGCAAAGCCATAAGAATATATACGACGGTCGCAACCGCCATCATGAGTATGAACCGTGGAGAGTATTCCAGGTTGAAGGTGTTCGCAGTGGAAACCAACATTTGAAATTGTCACAGAACGAAGTAGGCGAGCAGGTGCTTTCGAAGTGGCTCAAGTGATTTTCATCATACATCTTCCATTGAACACTGCGCTCGTGTATATTGATTTTTGAGGAAATATGATGGTTCCCTTTACTGGCGGTTTCATTTTCGTCACACAGAGATTCTCAGCGCATATATGGTTTATACCGACGGACTTGATGCGCGTTGAGATTCGCTCCTCTATGACTGCATTCAATTTCGATGCTTGGGTCACTTCAATTGGTGGGCAGCTGTGATGTTGCTGTAGGGATTGACAGTAATATGAGAGCTGTGGTGAGAACAAAGATACTGTTGGGGATTTTTGTTGTTCTCGCTGTATTTCCGTGCCTTTCGTGAGTTTCTTCTTTCATCGGTTTCCGACGTGGACGAAGGTTATAGCGCGGTTCCATCTTTCAAGCTTCCGTTCGTCGTGACTTTCTTCAGCTTCCATTCTCTTGTATATGCCCTTTGACGATATCCAACAAAATGTACACGGTTAAGTGATTTACAGATTTTTGCATTGACTCTCTACAGTGTCAGATGAACTAGCTCATGGCGGAGCATAGCAGCGACCTCAAAAGCTGCGGTCCGCTGCTGACGTTGCGGCTGCGACACTGCGGCCCAGCCCTAAGCAGGAAAAACAAGTTAAAAAATGGCACACCTATATTCCACTCAGGTAACTCTACTAACTTTTACTGATCGAGATCTGATTCAATCATCGATCATCATCAAAATCGATTAACAACTCGTCACGGGACGTCACGACGCGTTCTGCTGCACATCCCAATTGATACGTGACTGCAGCATAGCAGTGCGGACATCAAGCAAGGACTAGGAGCAGGGAGCAAATTCTGTACTTAAAGTAGTAGTTTAATAGAATGATGGCGATTGCGCACTGACGAAGGGGCAGACGTACTGAGGAACACGGGCTGAGTATAGGCAGCAGCAGCGACGAGTTTGAGACGACGGGATTTCAGGAGCAGGCGTACATGTGTTAACGTACGGCAGCAAATATGGAATCGTCGTGGACTGGAAAAGACGAGACGACTACGAGCCAACAGCCGCTTTCAGACCTTACGCTTCTTCATTGGTGAGCCTGAGGAGTACTGTATTATGTGGCCCACGACAAATATTGCATGAAACTCGTGCAAATCGCGGAGCCAAGCACTGCGCTGAGGCACCAAGCACATAAATGTAGCAAAAACTCTCATGGCTCTAGTTACTGGGTCCGGGTATTCACGGTACCCTCCATTGATACGGCCGTCAACATTGCCGTTCAATGCGCAGAACAGGTTGACTTGGGAGTAGTGCGCTCTAGTACTGTGTGAATATCGTTCCTAATTTCGGCGAAAATTGCGAACAATGTTTTGGTGCGAGCAGTGATTCTTTGCAGGGTGTTACCGATAACGTCCATGGTGCCTTGTTGTTCGAGCTCAAACAGGCGCAACTCCTGATTTAGAGCATCTAGCACAACAGAATAGAAAATTGCGATTTTATGTGGGTGTTCCGAAGAATGGAGACATGATGTTTCCCGTTAACTCTGTGCTATCGTTGCGATGAACTACAGCGGGTTTCATAGATGCACTTCGATACCATACTGCTGACCAATTTTAGAAATGCCCATTCAGGCTCCGAATTGGACGCTGCTGCTCAACAATTACTGATCCCTTACGTAGTATAACTATTGGACTGAGCATGTACGTCAAACGTTTTAGTACAAAAAGAAGTGCAGTGGCAGCCAATGACATTTTCCGTGGCTGAAAAAATAACCACATTGGAGTGAAGTCTGGGAGATGAAAAGGCCTGTCAACATCGCTGAAATAATGCTACCTCCACATACTGTATGTCAGCTCACGTAGTTTAATGACAAACATGCCTTCTGATGAGAGGGAGAGTCGAACACAATCCTTGATGGGACTGGCTTGTGTCCTTTCCATACGTCACTATGCGGCATATAGAAAATTCCTACTGATTCCGGGACGGGATAGTCATATTATCGCACAGATATTGATCGATGATTTTGGTGTACCATTCTTTGCGCTCGGGAAAAATGTTGAACAAAATGCTTAACCTGCGCAATCAGCTTGCGAGGAATAACGGTATAGTCATCCTTCAAGTCGGTGATGTTTGTTAAATAGATATTAGCGCTGTGGCATATCGTTTTCAAACTGATATCCATTTAGTATTATACTTTTGGAGGCCGCGTACGTTGCTTGGTTACTAGATCCCTCATGGTAAATACTTGCGAAGCTTCTGACTCAAACATGTTCTTAATCATTTCGGGCCCGGATAAAATTGTATTACAGAGCAGGGTTCCGCAGGTTGTCGAGTAGTGGCTTTCTGTCCAGCCACGGTGGTACGCTGCAAGTCCGAAAATGGTCTGAGCTTCTCGAAGCCCGCTAGGCAGAGAGCTGTTTGGGGGAGAACTCATTTACGTGTAGGCTGTGAAGGTTAATTCCTAGAGTATCTGGGAAACCTGATGTTCTCCCTTTATCAGAGTATCGTTAAGAAGATGTTGTTTGGCTTCAAGGACCTGACGTCAACTTTGGAAAGACGATTTTTCGGAAAACCCGATGTTATGGTAGGCTTCTATTTCATCGAAACTTCGATTTCTCGTCCCTGAGCCAATTAAACCTTTAAGAGGACGTGGTAAGACAAAAGGTTTGTCCCGCTGATTTAAACTAAGGTGCATCGTTTAGTTTAGATGATTGCCAAAGCCAGGCGCTCAGCGGAGTTTTCATGAATTGAGATTAAGCGAGCTTCTGTATCAGAGAAATATAGGGCTCGTTGATACATGTCTGAAGCACGGTTGTATGCGAGACCTTCCGCCGTCATTAATACAAATTGCTCTACCGCAGGCCGAGAACTAGATTCTTCTTGAGTTTGGATTAACCAGTGCTGAACACATTTGGCACCTGCAAAGGCACTGTTGCTGTAAACTTATTGTCAGCTTCGGTTTTGGTGCCGTTCTCATCAGCTTCAGAATTGATCTGTGAAGAGCTTTGCACTACGTGACGTCTATTTGTCTGAGACTTCACTAAAGGCTCGTCAGTAAATAGCTTCTGCATACAGATATGTTTATCATGCAGCCGCCCGCAGCGCTTGCAATTTGGTCTTGTTACTCTTATAATCTTTTGTGCAACATTTCCAATATAAATTCTTTTCCAGCACAATTTTTCTGCGTGTTCTTGCACCCTTTACATCTCGACAATGGCATGATCGATGATTGGTCCTTTCGCAGAAGTGCAGAAATAAGGCTGTAATCGTCCAGCTTCTTTTTTTTACGTAGAAACTTCAATCTGTCGTACCTTATCACTGTGATTGCGGCGTTTTGAAGTGTACGTTTTGCGCACAACGGGTTCATCAAGCTTGTCCAATGTCTCTCCAACAGTGCACGATCCTCCATTTGTGATTGTTTGAGGAGCTCCTCGACAATACGCCGAAGAAACTTTTTGAGTGTTGTCTCAGTCCATGAGTGTCAGAGATATTGTAGCCTGTGGATACCATCTCGTTTGCCATACACTACCCAGTACTCCTACTGAGCTCGCTGTTGTCCAGCAACCCCACCGAGTACTATTTTAGTATCACAATTTCGGTGACGTCTATACGCCTTCAAGTGCTGAGTATATGGAATGTGCTAAACGGCATGCTAGCGTCAAAGAGTTGTGTTTGAGTTTTGGAATCGTTGGGATCTATCAAATGGGGGAAGCTTGCTTGCATTATCTTACAATGAGCTTTAACGTCGTACCTTGTACCAGATAGGCACATGCTGCCATGCTTCGAGCACTGACGTCTGTAAAGAGTTTCAAGGCTGTCTTTTGGTGATTTAAGCGATACAGCGTGGCAGTTCGCACCGCAAATCTCATAGTACGTGGGATTTCTTCCATTGTTGTTGTTCCGGAGACAAAGGAGTCCCTTCTGAAGTTGTGTTCCAAAGTTGCTGGAAGAAAATTCTCCCATGCAATGTGAGTGGAGTGAGCCATCCGTGAGTGTAATGTATGGATGCTACTTGTTCCGCTCGTACATTTTTCTTTCTGCAGATAGTGGCAATTAATTTCTAGTCATTCGCTTCGTCGTGGTTTGAACGTAATACTCGCAGGTTTATTTGTACATCCTTGAAGACCTCTTCGCCATCTACAGCTTCAAGGCTTCTTTCGTGGACGATGCCATGACATTGTCCTCGTACGTCTTTTCCAGTCTGGCGAACTTTTTATCGCCGGTCTATTTTCTAGTGATGGTTGGTCGTTCCTGCAAGGAGGACAGGGGAACAGTTGAGCCCAAAGGTCACCCGAGTGAATCTGTAGATAACTATCTTGTCAGTGTCGACTTCTTCCTAGAGACATCGTAGCCCTAGCGGCCTTGTCGCGTCACGATCCTGAGGTTCTAGGCGGACCTGAAGAAACGCTTTTTCGACATCATCCCGTCAGAGCGGTCTTGCTGGTTCTGGAGCGCATTAGGACGTCTTAGAGGCAGGATCGCCGACCCGTTGTGCAGAGCGTTGTTGAGGGAGTTTCGCTGTCGTCGATGGGCTGAAACGTCAAATACGACTTTTGTCGTATCCTTCTGTGGAGGATGACTGCTTGGTAAACTGGATAGTATACCCGTTTCTCCTTCCGATGATGAATTCAGATCAACTTTTTCGATGACGCCCAGCGCAAGCTGGTTCATGAAGCTGTCGTGAAATTGTTCGAGGAGTTCTGGATTTTCTCGGAGCTTCGCAACCGTAGTTTCGAGTTTTAGTTTTTCTGATCGGGTCTAACCTCACATGCATTTCACATAATTCAGCGAACTAACGGTTCAGCGAACCAACCAGCGGTTTCGAAGTCAAAGCAAAATCCACAGAATATCGAATGGAAGGCAAATAAAAAGCACCTCAGTCTCTGCATACATCATCGTATATCTCAGTCACTGTATGCTCCGCCTAACATGAGCTTCCTCACGACACTTCCACGCCGTGGTTCCCATAAGAAGAATTTTTGCTGGGTTACGATCGGAAAACTCCTCTGACCGAAAGTTGATTACCGAGCACCAGCTATCACCAGCATATTTTGCCGTTCATTCTACCAAAACTCGCAGTTGCCCCTCGGTTTTACAGCACAAACGTTTAACTGTAGGGAACCCTTCCGGCGCCAATCAGATTTTGATATTTATGTCAAAATCGACCAAAATATGATGCCTGAGCACAATCATGACATAGTGATCAGCCAAATACCAAATAATTTATATGTTCACAGTGATTGACCAAGCACAAGATAGCATAAATGTTCATAGTAGTCCGTCAATAATCGTTACAAAAACGAATATATGGACACCTACTCACACCATGCATCGATTGCGATGTGTGTTTCATCTGTGTTACGAGAAGGACACTGGTAGAATGGTATATACTGGAAGGAGGTTCGATATTCAAAGTGTATACCTGCGTGAACTCCAACGTGCGAACAGGTGGTCTGTAAGTTGCGTGAAAGAGAGTGGCAGTTTGTGCATCGCGCATGTGTACATGAGCGTTAGACCCATCGGATTACATGACCTGAATTTCCTGGGTGCGAGTTCCATTAATACTATGAGCTCTTGAATTAACAGCCTCGCCGATTCTAAACAGGTCTTTCCTTGGCGCTCTTTCCAATGTTTTTCGAATTCATTTACAGCCTCTTCGTTAGGAGGTTAGAAATGCGCGGAGCGTATCTCATGAATGGTAGTGACCTCTTAGAGCTTAGTTTCAATTTCTGATACGATGGTGCTTGCGATGTTACGTTGGGTACGGATGAAGACATAGAGTTCTTTCTGGGATTCCAGTTAATCCCATGGTTCATCATATTGCGAACATTCCGACATTGTGCGACTTATACATTTTGAAAACAGTAATCCTCTGCTTGGCATGGAAAGAGTTGCGCGCGACATAGAGTCTAGTAGACGGTACGAACTCAATCGAGATGATCGATAACCAAGAACAAGTGACCAAGTAGAATGAGAAGGCTGGCCTTGTGATCTTTTGATGATTTTTGTTGCGACCTACCACCTTAAGATGAGGGGGGAGCGTTCGATGGAATCCGTTATGAAGCAAAACATTTTACTGTCTTGTTGCGAAGTGGAAGATATGTTTTATCCCGATTATATAAACATTTGAGACATTGAATGAGAATTCTCCTTTCCACATTGCTTACGAAAAGATACGAAGAATATGAAATCGCTGATGGGACTGTAGTCCTTCGCAAAAATGTATTGAATTACTGATACTGCTTCTTGACTCGCGTCCAAGAGCAGCTTACATGCGTCGATCGTTGGAACAGCCCACCAAAATTCAGGGACTCGGTCCTCCCTATACAAAACGTCTAATAATATGAAACGTACACCATAAAACGCTGAAAGTGTCAACTAGGAGCTTCAAGTGGACGAGAAATTACGATGGAGGGGAGATAAGAAGGAACGTAAGCTCGTAGACGACGTCGGGTGATGGACCATAACGTCAAATGCTTTTCACATATTTCAGCCAACCAACAAATTATTGAAGTCTACGTGACATACAGAATATCGAAAGTGAAGGCAGACAAAAAGCCCCTTTATGCTATATGCCCCACCTATCGTGAGCTTTGCCACGACTGGTCCTCAAATTCCTTCCAAACGGCTGCACATACTTGTTCGCGCTCTTCTGCGGCCGATTCGAAAAATCTGTGTACCCTGTTGATTCAAATGCATAGAACTCTTCCCAGGTTCCTGTTGGATTCTCTGCTTGCTCCTCGAAATTGGGGGTCCTCAACCACATATTGTAGGTCATGATCCGTTTGGAATTGAGCTCTTCGCCTGAGGAGTGCTAGTGTGTACTTGCCCAATGTTGCACCAGCTGAAGTGATTGTTCGTCCACTACTGAATATCCTGGTCTAGAGAATAGCATCGTATCATAGTCCGGACGCTAGCGTCAGATGAGCTTCCTGTTCGTCGTTCAGTAGACAAAAGTAGTAGTCGCAAAGATGTCACTGCATCTCAGTAGAATCAGTGGGTGAACGTGGGCACTGCCTAATAAGAGCTGTGTCTCATTCTCGATGAAGAACCTTTTGTCATCCGCGCTGAGGGAGTTCTTTGCATGGTTTCCGTCAAGTTTTCAATTTCTGCTACTTCTTCCAGTGCCGTTGTCCTTCTCTATCTCAGAGCTGGACGTTGGTTGTTACGCGATTCCTTTGTATTGTCGTCGCTGAGCCGAATGTAGCGATCGTCATGGGTTCGGAGCCAACATCCTGTAGATGAGGACAATCGGCGAGGGAGCTTTTGATGAGCGGTTAGCGCCTGTAGCAGGACGTGAATCGTTTCGAGAGTTTGAATTCTCGGGTCGAAACTTGCGCTTGATCGACGAGAACCAGGGTGTCGCTGTTGTTGCTTCCATATCGCATGTGGGGAACGATATGAGACGGCTCCGCTTGTATCGTCTGATCAGCGGATGAACCGGTGTGCACGGTGTGCACTGGTAGTGACCCCAGATGAGCAAAAATTTTTCCTAGATGGTCTGCTCCGTGCTTGTGGTAGCTTCGGTGTCGTGTCTGAAGACTCCCGTTTCTTGCAGATGGAAGTGTGGTGTCCAGTCTCGTTACAGTTCATACACGACCCCTTTCTGCATTGAGCTACTCCATGATCTTGCCCTCTACAACTGTAGCAAACGTGTCGAGAGATATGCCTCTTCATCATTTCCAATCGTTTTGCCCCTGTCGAAACTTCCTTACAGTGCATTTGTGAGTGTCGCGGCTTCTTACAGTAGAAGCATCTCGAGCCTTTACCCCTTGTAGTCGATTGAGTATCGCGCTCGTTATCTGCAGGATTGTGTATCGGCCGGTCTTGGTACTCCCTTCTTCTCTTTAACTTAGTGTGCGATGTTCATTTGTGACATAATGCGTTCTTTAATGGTGCCGAGCAGAAGTGACGATTCCGGTCTTCACTGGACAGTTGTTGATTCCAAAGGAGAGCACTCCGTGCAACTCTAATGCCCAATGCGATTTTGCCCACGAGCCGTTTCTGGAGAAAGCCGTTGTCGTCATGTTCGCCCTCGAGTTGCTACTGGCGGAGAGTTCATAGCATAGCAGTTCTTGGTCGTGTAGACGTTCACTCCGATTGGTGCAATTTCTTTGAAAGTTAGCGTTTGTCTGTCTCCGTACTTCGTCTTGAGATGGCTTATTACGAGAGGATGAGTCTGTTTGATACTTTGACTGTTTCACAGACTCCTTGTCTTCGCCTTGCAATGCATCTAGCATGGAGGCCATCTTGTGCAGGTTAACGGATACCCGACAAGAGGCCCGTTGCGCGATAGCAATGCAGAGTAAGCGGAGGAGCCGCAGCGCGTGCTGTTGCTATTTTGAGTCAAGTCGAATAGAATGTAGCATTGCACGTCTACCATCGAACATCACGCTGTGATTTGTTCGCTGGCTCTGCCTTCTTGCCGCGTGACGGACCTCCTGTCGGGTACCCCAGGTTATCGATGTTTCGTGGGTGCACTAAATGATTGAAATCGGAATCGGAATAGGAGCTAAGATAACTGTCTTGCGAAATTGCCACGCGGTGTCGAATAGATAATTTAGCGACCAGAACAAGAATAGATTAATGAATTTATGCGAAGTCAATAACTGCAACAAATGAATTCATGCCAAGTCAATAACTGCAACAAAACTTGTTATGGCTGGAAATTGTTATGCGTGATAAGAAACAAAAAACGACACACAAAGGTTCGGCCTGGATCGGGAGTGATTGCAACCGGTAATCGAAGGAGAAGAAGTCAAGGGAGCTAAGCCAAATGACGCGGAGGAAAGCGAAGACAAGTCAAGCACAGTGTAGTCCAGTGTACATAGTTGGACGAAGTCAAAGTAGTGTAGTGAAGAAGAAGAAAGAAGAAGAAAAGAAAGAACAC